AACTGCAAGTGCCCCAAACGTTGCTAATCCCAGCACTTCCAACTCAGCTCCAGCAAATAATAACAATCCTCCAAATAGCCTTTTGTTAGAAAACTATACCATGTAAAATCAAACTATTAATCCAACAGTGAATACATCAACACAGACTACAAATAGAACTCTTATTCAATCTGGTATTCCTCCCCTAATGTCACTACCAACGGGTTTACAAACAACTTCATCACCTGAATCAGTTTCTTCTATAATGGGACCCGAATACAGCAGCATTACAGCCGATCAAGTTAGACGAGAATTTGAAAGAATGAACCAACATGATTCACAATTTCCAACAGCTTCAAATCAACAGGATCCAATATTGCCAATTTCAAACCCGAATATCAATTTAGAAGCTCCTATAAATCATTCCAATGGACCAAGCTCACGAGAAATTATCTCAGCCTCAGTTAGACTTGCACAATCCGATGCGATGAAAACTTTGGAAGACAGACTTGCTGTCATGATTCCACAGGTCGTTAGGCATTCGATTGATTCCATAAGAAATCTGTCTTTAGACCACAATCAAATGACAATCAAGAGCAAAGGCCCAATGCCCCAAATTCAAATACTAATTACCGACAGCAACAACAACCTAACCAATACCACAATCCATATCAACAGTATTCTCAAAATATTAATCAAAATTTTGCTATGGGTGTCAAACCCATTACACCTTTACAACTGCAGAGATGGGGTCTAAGATATGACGGTTCATTGAAGCTAATAAGTGTAGAAGAGTTCGTCTTCAGAGCCGAATCTCTAAGACTTGATTATAATTGCCCATGGGACATTTTTATTAAAGGTTTCCACCATATGCTGACAGGCAGAGCGCATGACTGGATCTGGCAATTTCGTTAGAAGAATCCTCATTGCGAATGGGCAATATTAAAGTATCATTTCATAAAAAAGTTTTGAAATTACGAGAGTGATTTCGAAATACAAAGGAAAATTATTGAGCGTAGACAGTTACTCTCAGAATCTGCCGACATTTACATATCTGAAATTGTCAAGCTTCAAAATCAAATGAGAACTCCCATCCCTGATTTTGAAATTGTACAAATAATTAAAGACAATTTGAAAGATGGATTAGTGCAACTTATCTATGCAAAAAGTATTAACTCTATTGACGACTTGATAGAAGAATGTAAACGAGCAGAGGTAACCCTATCTAAGAGACTCGCATATCGTCAACTACACCAAAACAACGTCAGAAGAGTTCATGAAATCAATTTTAATCAGGATGAAAATCTCCATGAAACCACTGAAGTTGAAGCTCTACATAACTCAAATTTAAATACAAAAACTTTAACATGTTGGAACTGTAAGACAGTGGGTCATAGTTATATCGAATGTGACTTGGAGCAAAGAAATATTTTCTGTTTCAAATGTGGGTTCGATGGTGTGACTTCACCAAAATGTCCCAAATGTGTGGGAAACCAACAAAAGAGCATGAGGCCGACCTCATGTTCACAAAAATACATATCCCAGAATACCCAATAAATACTCAAAATATCCAACCAACCGTTTTACATACCCTAAAGCAAAATATACCGGCTACAACAACCAAGTTAAAAACTATTATTCCATACGAACAGAGGTTAGAGGAATATAAGAAAAAAAGAGATGAGATTTTTAAAGATTTTCAGCCGGAAGTTACCAAAAAGATTGTGTATATGTTAGATACGTTGTCCTGCAACTTCAGCTTAAGCAATTACCGAAGCTGATTGACATCACTGACAACTCCTCTACAAACTATCTCCGAGGAGGTAGTGGTATTTGAATTGTCTAAGTTGTTGTTTTTGTTGCTCACCTCGATACACTCAAATAGTTGTAAATGTACTAAAAATGAGACAAGGGATCCTCAGCGATCACTTAGAACCTCTGCGTTCACTTGTCTGCATTTGCATATGTATTAGAAATAGACAAGGGATCCCCTGCGATCACTTAGAACCTCTGCGTTCACTTGTCTTTGAGTATCGAAAGCTTAAGCATCAAGGCCTCTGTCGCCACTTCACATACCAAAAGGTAATTATTTGGAGAAAAGAAAATAAAATCTGAATTCAATAAACCAGCAAACTTATTTGGATTAAAAACTAATCATTTGTGTTTTTATTTTGCTTTTTTATACCTTTCATATCAACATTTGGTCGCATCGAGCCGGATTTTTGGAAAGCGAAAAGTTTGCCTGGATATTAATTGACGTTTTTTTTCTTTTCTTTTCCAAAGGAATCATCCACAGCACTTCCCCCCTCACAATTTGCATCAACCATCCTCCACCAATCTCATCAAAACATCATAAAACAGGTACGTAAGTTCAAATGTGTATTCGATTACATGAAGTAAACATGCGTTAAAATATTAAAACTATGGGCTGAACGGTTGCCAGATAGCCGTGTAAACTTTCATGGGGTATTTTCAAATAAATTGGCAAGAAAATACCAAAAAGGATGACTGAAATACGTCATAAGGGGTGGGTAGCCAATGAGGAGTAAAATCTAGAAAAGTAAAATCGGAAAAAGAACCTCCCCATCCGGCGAGCTAAGTCGTAGCTGAACCACCTTAGTACCATTTCAGCATAAAAAGATCCATCACATTTATGGCGCCCAACATTCGAGCTCTATTTTTTTTATTTATTTTTACAATAGCCCTCACTCTTTTGTAGCTTATGTACCACGAATCGGTATCCCGAAAGGAACTTTTAGTATCCATGTCGCGTTGTACAGGTACGTGGGCATATTCCACTTTAGAGTTACCTTTTGAGCAAAATAATGATTACTACTATTCGAATGGAAGCATATTTCAATGGCTAAAGAGCTGAATATATATTAGTTCCAAACCAGTGGTTATATTCATTGAACTTAAATAGGTACAATACAATAAATTTTGTCTCTAAAAAATTTTATTCTTAAACATACCTTCAAACCCAACAATCTATCAAAATAAAAATAACATTCAATTCCAGTTAATGATATATTTCTATGTTTATTAAAACCATAAGCAAATAAAATATATATAAAACAACAATTTATTTCGTTTTGCTATATACTTTTCTAATTAAAATAAATTAGAGCCTTAAAAATAAGAAAAAGTACTAAAAATAGTTTACAGAATTCTATACATCATAACTATATGAACAGGTGTCTGGTTAACAAAGTTCAGTCCAAATTAAATTAAAAAACGTATATGAAAAAGAAAGAAACATAAAGTTTATAAGATTTATAACAAGTTCAAACAAATTATTTTTGCAAACAAAAAACAAAAAAAAACTAATTTATATTTTTATACATCAACAAAGTTCAAACATATTTATATATATGTAAATTATAAAAAAATAAAATATTTTAATATTGCTATAATAAAATGTATATAAATATATATTTAAAACAAGGTAAAAAGCAGTAAGTTCGGCCGGGCCGAACTTTTAATACCCTCCACCATTTGCAACGAATTTGGAAATTTTCAAAAAATAAAATCCTTAAAAAATTCTGTTAAAATTTTAAAAATACCGAATATAGCCGTTATTTTGGGGTCTATACGACGTGGACATACATAGGCATTGTTTGTCATAGACCATTACCATATTCAAATTCGAAACTTGAAATAAACGGTGAATAATGTAGCTAAAATCACCAAAATACCGAATATAGGGAGGTACCGTTATATGGGGGCTATCCGAAGACCTGCACCCGCACAGACAATTTTCTGTCACAGACTGTAGTTCCCATAACGAACTTCAAATACCAATTTTAAAACAATTCCGGTGAATAATGTCGCTAAAATCATCAAAATACCGAATATAGGGAGGTACCGTTATATGGGGGCTATATATGGAGACGTGGACCTGCACAGACAATTTTATGTCTTAGGGTGTAGTATCCATTTTGAATTTCAAATACCAAATTTGAAACAATTCCCGTGAATAATGTCGCTAAAATCATCAAAATACCGAATATAGGGAGGTACCGTTATATGGGGGCTATATGAAAACGTGGACCAACATGGCCCATTTGGCCCGAACTTAACCTGCCTACTGGATAAATAAACATGTGTTAGTACCATTTCAGCATAAAAAGATCCATCACATTTATGGCGCCCAACATTCGAGCTCTATTTTTTTATTTATTTTTACAATAGCCCTCACTCTTTTGTAGCTTATGTACCACGAATCGGTATCCCGAAAGGAACTTTTAGTATCCATGTCGCGTTGTACAGGTACGTGGGCATATTCCACTTTAGAGTTACCTTTTGAGCAAAATAATGATTACTACTATTCGAATGGAAGCATATTTCAATGGCTAAAGAGCTGAATATATATTAGTTCCAAACCAGTGGTTATATTCATTGAACTTAAATAGGTACAATACAATAAATTTTGTCTCTAAAAAATTTTATTCTTAAACATACCTTCAAACCCAACAATCTATCAAAATAAAAATAACATTCAATTCCAGTTAATGATATATTTCTATGTTTATTAAAACCATAAGCAAATAAAATATATATAAAACAACAATTTATTTCGTTTTGCTATATACTTTTCTAATTAAAATAAATTAGAGCCTTAAAAATAAGAAAAAGTACTAAAAATAGTTTACAGAATTCTATACATCATAACTATATGAACAGGTGTCTGGTTAACAAAGTTCAGTCCAAATTAAATTAAAAAACGTATATGAAAAAGAAAGAAACATAAAGTTTATAAGATTTATAACAAGTTCAAACAAATTATTTTTGCAAACAAAAAACAAAAAAAAACTAATTTATATTTTTATACATCAACAAAGTTCAAACATATTTATATATATGTAAATTATAAAAAAAATAAAATATTTTAATATTGCTATAATAAAATGTATATAAATATATATTTAAAACAAGGTAAAAAGCAGTAAGTTCGGCCGGGCCGAACTTTTAATACCCTCCACCATTTGCAACGAATTTGGAAATTTTCAAAAAATAAAATCTTTAAAAAATTCTGTTAAAATTTTAAAAATACCGAATATAGCCGTTATTTTGGGGTCTATACGACGTGGACATACATAGGCATTGTTTGTCATAGACCATTACCATATTCAAATTCGAAACTTGAAATAAACGGTGAATAATGTAGCTAAAATCATCAAAATACCGAATATAGGGAGGTACCGTTATATGGGGGCTATCCGAAGACCTGCACCCGCACAGACAATTTTCTGTCACAGACTGTAGTTCCCATAACGAACTTCAAATACCAATTTTAAAACAATTCCGGTGAATAATGTCGCTAAAATCATCAAAATACCGAATATAGGGAGGTACCGTTATATGGGGGCTATATGAAGACGTGGACCTGCACAGACAATTTTCTGTCTTAGGGTGTAGTATCCATTTTGAATTTCAAATACCAAATTTGAAACAATTCCCGTGAATAATGTCGCTAAAATCATCAAAATACCGAATATAGGGAGGTACCGTTATATGGGGGCTATATGAAAACGTGGACCTACATGGCCCATTTGGCCCGAACTTAACCTGCCTACTGGAAAAATAAACATGTGTGCACAATTTTAGCCACCTATCTCAATTCATTCGAAATATAGCGTGATTACAACAGACAGACAGACAGACGGACATCGCTAAATCGACTTAGAATTTTACGCTGATCAAGAATATATATACTTTGTTGGATCTGATATGAGTATTTCGAGGAGTTACAAACAGAATGACAAAGTTAATATACCCTCCATAGTATGGTGGAGTGTATAAAAAAGAAGTATTCACACATCTGAAAAGAAAAGAAAGTAAAACAATTATTAATAGAATATTAATGTAAATTTAATCAAAAATATATGATAAATAAATTAAAATTAGCAATATTAAAAATATTATATTTTTTCATTATATTCAATACCAAATTATATTCAATACCAAATTTTAAGACTACATTATAAATTAAATATTGAATTCAAAAGAAACTTTAAGCTCAAAATCTAATCACCCATTTAAATCTACTCAATTCACATTTTGCATACATTTTGTCATAAATACATTTCTAATTAACTATTACAATGTCTAGTAAAAACTCTAACCCTGGAACTAGGTCTTCAAGCAGAATTGCGGGTAAAAGTAATTCAACTGCAAGTGTCCCAAACGTTGCTAATCCCAGCACTTCCAACTCAGCTCCAGCAAATAATAACAATCCTCCAAATAGCCTTTTGTTAGAAAACTATACCATGTAAAATCAAACTATTAATCCAACAGTGAATACATCAACACAGACTACAAATAGAACTCTTATTCAATCTGGTATTCCTCCCCTAATGTCACTACCAACGGGTTTACAAACAACTTCATCACCTGAATCAGTTTCTTCTATAATGGGACCCGAATACAGCAGCATTACAGCCGATCAAGTTAGACGAGAATTTGAAAGAATGAACCAACATGATTCACAATTTCCAACAGCTTCAAATCAACAGGATCCAATATTGCCAATTTCAAACCCGAATATCAATTTAGAAGCTCCTATAAATCATTCCAATGGACCAAGCTCACGAGAAATTATCTCAGCCTCAGTTAGACTTGCACAATCCGATGCGATGAAAACTTTGGAAGACAGACTTGCTGTCATGATTCCACAGGTCGTTAGGCATTCGATTGATTCCATAAGAAATCTGTCTTTAGACCACAATCAAATGACAATCAAGAGCAAAGGCCCAATGCCCCAAATTCAAATACTAATTACCGACAGCAACAACAACCTAACCAATACCACAATCCATATCAACAGTATTCTCAAAATATTAATCAAAATTTTGCTATGGGTGTCAAACCCATTACACCTTTACAACTGCAGAGATGGGGTCTAAGATATGACGGTTCATTGAAGCTAATAAGTGTAGAAGAGTTCGTCTTCAGAGCCGAATCTCTAAGACTTGATTATAATTGCCCATGGGACATTTTTATTAAAGGTTTCCACCATATGCTGACAGGCAGAGCGCATGACTGGATCTGGCAATTTCGTTAGAAGAATCCTCATTGCGAATGGGCAATATTAAAGTATCATTTCATAAAAAAGTTTTGAAATTACGAGAGTGATTTCGAAATACAAAGGAAAATTATTGAGCGTAGACAGTTACTCTCAGAATCTGCCGACATTTACATATCTGAAATTGTCAAGCTTCAAAATCAAATGAGAACTCCCATCCCTGATTTTGAAATTGTACAAATAATTAAAGACAATTTGAAAGATGGATTAGTGCAACTTATCTATGCAAAAAGTATTAACTCTATTGACGACTTGATAGAAGAATGTAAACGAGCAGAGGTAACCCTATCTAAGAGACTCGCATATCGTCAACTACACCAAAACAACGTCAGAAGAGTTCATGAAATCAATTTTAATCAGGATGAAAATCTCCATGAAACCACTGAAGTTGAAGCTCTACATAACTCAAATTTAAATACAAAAACTTTAACATGTTGGAACTGTAAGACAGTGGGTCATAGTTATATCGAATGTGACTTGGAGCAAAGAAATATTTTCTGTTTCAAATGTGGGTTCGATGGTGTGACTTCACCAAAATGTCCCAAATGTGTGGGAAACCAACAAAAGAGCATGAGGCCGACCTCATGTTCACAAAAATACATATCCCAGAATACCCAATAAATACTCAAAATATCCAACCAACCGTTTTACATACCCTAAAGCAAAATATACCGGCTACAACAACCAAGTTAAAAACTATTATTCCATACGAACAGAGGTTAGAGGAATATAAGAAAAAAAGAGATGAGATTTTTAAAGATTTTCAGCCGGAAGTTACCAAAAAGATTGTGTATATGTTAGATACGTTGTCCTGCAACTTCAGCTTAAGCAATTACCGAAGCTGATTGACATCACTGACAACTCCTCTACAAACTATCTCCGAGGAGGTAGTGGTATTTGAATTGTCTAAGTTGTTGTTTTTGTTGCTCACCTCGATACACTCAAATAGTTGTAAATGTACTAAAAATGAGACAAGGGATCCTCAGCGATCACTTAGAACCTCTGCGTTCACTTGTCTGCATTTGCATATGTATTAGAAATAGACAAGGGATCCCCTGCGATCACTTAGAACCTCTGCGTTCACTTGTCTTTGAGTATCGAAAGCTTAAGCATCAAGGCCTCTGTCGCCACTTCACATACCAAAAGGTAATTATTTGGAGAAAAGAAAATAAAATCTGAATTCAATAAACCAGCAAACTTATTTGGATTAAAAACTAATCATTTGTGTTTTTATTTTGCTTTTTTATACCTTTCATATCAACATTTGGTCGCATCGAGCCGGATTTTTGGAAAGCGAAAAGTTTGCCTGGATATTAATTGACGTTTTTTTTTCTTTTCTTTTCCAAAGGAATCATCCACAGCACTTCCCCCCTCACAATTTGCATCAACCATCCTCCACCAATCTCATCAAAACATCATAAAACAGGTACGTAAGTTCAGTGCATTTTATTATTGTGAGCATTGCAAAAAAGAAAAAGTGAAAAAGTGCTGTTTTTCTAATTTGTTTGTCGGTACTGGTCGCCTTTGGTACACCCTATCTCGCGGTATTTTGCTATACAGTCCACTAAAATTTAATCCTGTCTTTTTTTTGGAAGTGCCTAACCCCCTTTTTAAGTTCTGTTAAAATCACTTTTATTTTAATTTTGGTTTTCAAAATAATTGGTTAATTATTTCAATACAATAAAGAGTTATCTACTCGCAAATTCATTTGCTTAATTTAACTAAATTGCCGTCATACAGTGCTTTAGTTTCTGTTTGTTTATTTCAATCCACCACCACCAAGTCAGTGCTTTGTTGAGAGATCATTTGTTGGTTTTTTCATTTCTCATCGCTCTCAACAATATTAACGCCAATATTTCAAGCGGTTTTTTTCCAAGCGTCGGTTCAACTACACACTAACACACTCTCGATTTATTTTTCTCCCCAACTCTCACTGTTGGTTCGTTGTAATCGGTCGACTTATAATGTGGTAGCTAACTATCCCCGTCACCGTCCGACCATCAAACACTGCTTGTGTTTTATTTTCTTTTGTGCGATATCCGTTGCGACCATTGTCGTCGGTCAGTTCATAGTGTGGTAGTTAACCCACCCCCGTCACCGTCTGACCATCAAACACTGCTTGTGTTTTATTTTCTTTTGTGCGATATCCGTTGCGACCATTGTCGTCGGTCAGTTCATAGTGTGGTAGTTAACCCACCCCCGTCACCGTCTGACTAACAAACACTGCTTGTGTTTTATTTTCTTTTGTGCGATATCCGTTGCGACCATTGTCGTCGGTCAGTTCATAGTGCGGTAGTTAACCCACCCCCGTCACCGTCTGACTAACAAACACTGCTTGTGTTTTATTTTCTTTTGTGCGGCATTCGTAATTCACCATTGCACAGTGGGTCCGTATGGAAAAAATTGTGAATTTCAATAGTAAAGTTCTTAAATAATTTTTTTTTCAAAATTTTCAAATATTTAATTTTCAAAGTGATTTTAGAAGATTAACAAAAATACCCTAGTAAATTGTGTTGCAGATTAATATATATTTTTAAACATTTATCAATACAATTTATTTATTTTCGTAAATAATAATAATAATAATAATAATAATAATAATAATAATAATAATAATAAAAATAATAATAAAAATAATAATAATAATAATAATAATAATAATAATAATAATAATAATAATAATAAAAATAAAAATAAAAATAGTGGCGATTGTAACTCGTACATTCTACAATTGGTACGAACAGAAATATTAATTATTGTTATTATTTGGTGTTTTTTATTTAATTTTTTGCATTTGGAATATTTATACAAATATTATACTGTTTTTGGAGTATTTCTCGAAATTTATTGCTTTTCTGACTCTACTTTTCTACCATTGATAGAGATTTCAGCAGAAAATCCGTGTGTTTGCCTACTTTTAGTTGGTTTCCTTGAATTGTGGTTAGCCTCTTCAGGATCTTAGTATTTCCACCCTCTTCGATCTGCGCTTTAATTTGAGTATATCATTGGAGTTAAGATACTTTGGACCTTTTCCGTAACTCAGTTTAGACTTCTATAAACGAATTTCGAAATTGTTTTTCTTTCTGGGAAAAGTAAACAGAATCTTGTAAAAAATGTCGGTTACCCCCTTAACTCAGTTTATCCGTGCTTCTGATAATGTGGTAAAGTTTATTGCCTCTTTTCACTTGTTAAATCCAGATAACCATACGGTTTTCAACCTCGAAATTCGGAGCACGGAACTTCAAGATTTATGGGGTAAAGTCAAAGACACTTATGATAAGTGTATTGATTATTTTATGACTTTAGATGGTACGACTACCGATCAAATTTCTTCTGCAGATTCCAAATTCCAATCGACGTGTCAAAACTATATCGATTGCTTTTCAGAAATTAATGAAAAGTTGCTAAATTTGAAGTCGGTGAAATCTCCTCCAACAACTCCCACAGTTTTAAGCATTAGCACACCACAAAGTAATGTAGCTTCGAATCTTCGACAAACTGGTTGTACATCTATTCGGCCTAATATGGCTCAGACTGGCTCATCTAATACTGGCAATATGTCGAGTCACAGCTTAAGTTTGTCTGCTTTGTCTAACTCTGGTCACCAAGATATTCAGAACCCTGTTGATATATCCATTTCTAATTGGAGTTTGCCGCCAAACGTTTCCAATACAATGCACAGTCTCAATCTACCTCCCTGTGATATAGAGGATTTCCGTGGAGACTTTTTATCATGGCCCACCTTCCGGGACCTTTTTTCCGCGATGTATATCAATAATTCTAGGTTAAGCGATATTGAGAGGTTATTACATTTAGTACAAAAAACGAAAGGCGAAGCTAAGGAAATTGTATCTAAATTTCCACTAACGCACAAAAGTTTTTCTCTGGTTTGGAAATCGCTTCAAGATACGTACGACAACAAAAGAATTCTTGTAAATAGCCATTTGAAAGTCCTTTTTGAACTTCCATCTCTATCAAGTGAAACGAGTTCTGGGTTGAAAACTTTACAAAGGGGAATAAACGGTTGTTTGTCTGCCATGTCAGTTTATGACATTGTTACGGATCATTGGGATCCCATTCTTGTTTTTATTTGTCTTCAGCGTCTGCCTAAACTTACCGTGACACTCTGGGAACAGAGTCTCAAAGATAAGTCGTCCTTATCGTTATGGTCCGAGCTCGATTCTTTCCTAACAGAGAGAATTCAGACGCTGGCCTGTTTACGTGATATTCGAGGTATTGAGGATTCTAGACCAACTTCACGCAACGTTAAGGCCCACTTGGCAAAAACTTCGACTGATACTATAAAATCATTTCCTAAACCACGTTGTGTATGCTGCCCCAATGAAAATCATGCTCCTTATTCATGTCCTCGTTTCAAGACATTGTCGTTCGATCAGAAACTAGTCATTGTAAAAAAGAACAATTTATGTTTTAACTGTTTATCTAGAGGTCATTCGTCAAATAGGTGTCCTAGTACACATGCGTGTAATATATGCCGTGCAAGGCATCATACCCTGTTACATAAGCCAACTAGAACAGCGCCCACAACTAGTATCGTGCCCAACACAACTCCTTCGGCTCCCAGTACTCAATTGAGCTCAAATCTAGATAATATTGCGTCTACGTCCTCCGGTGCAAACCCTACAACAGTCAATCGTCAAGTTTTCCATACTTCGCACAGTGCCAAAGTTCTTCTAGGTACTGCTATAGTAAATCTTCTTCACGAGGGTACGTCTTATCCTGTGCGAGCTCTCATTGACCCTGCGTCAGAGGCTACTTTTATAACTGAGCACCTTCAAAATAGAATCAAATTGTCTTGTCGCTCCACCCTCGCTAACATTTCTGGGGTAAATGGTTCTACTTCAGTCACCTCTAAGAAAAATTGTCTTATTTGTGTTAGTTCCCGATTTGACTCTTCAATCTTGTTGAATACTGAAGCTTTTGTTCTCCCTAAGATATCTGGTAATTTTCCCTCCTTTTCGGTAGATCCTTCTTGGTCACGAGCATTGCCTAATCTTTAACTGGCTGATCCACATATATTTGAACAAAACTCTTCTGCAGTTTTGGGAACTAGAGGAGGTTCCTAAACGCAAAATTCTTTCAAGATCTGCGAGGAGAATTATCAGTCCACCACCTTGAGGAACTCGGAAGGTCGTTATGTTGTCACCCTTCCTTTTCGTAGCGAATTTCCTCAGTCATTGTAACTAGGTGATTCTCGTCAGAATGTCTTAAAACAGTTTGCTCGAAATGAAAAGTCGCTCTTATGCAAACCTTCCCTTAAGGAAATGTACGACGCAGTAGTGCGCGAATATCCTGATTTAGGTCACATGCGACCTGTTTCCCCCTCACCAGCGCCAAATGTTTGCTATTTACCCCACCACCCAGTAGTTAATCTAGAAAAACGAACTTCTAAAGTACGAGTAGTATTTAATGCGTCAAATAAAACGTCTACAGGCGTAAGTCTAAACGACATTCTGCATGTTGGACCAACTCTCCAAGCCGACTTAGTCCTCTTAGTTCTACGATGGCGTCTATTTCGTTTTGTGTTTAATTGTGACATTACTCAGATGTACCGTCAAATCCGCCTTCACCCAAGCCATACATCTTTCCAAAGAATTTTATTTAGAGAATCCCCTAATGACTCCATTAGCGACTATGAATTACAAACAGTTACATTTGGGGTAAATTGTGCGCCGTATCTTGCCATTCGAACTTTGCTTCAGCTCGCCGACGATTGCGAATTAGAATATCCATTGGCTTCTAAGATCTTACGTAAAAGTATATATGTCGATGACGTTCTTGCTGGTGCTCATGATATAGAAACCGCATTACTTGTTCGCAACCAGCTCATTGCTTCTCTAGCCACAGCTAAATTTGAGTTGAGGAAATGGACTTCTAATGAGAAGTATATTCTTACTGGTTTACCCCCTAGTCATTTAGTTGACGCACAAGTATTATCCTTTGTAGAAGCAAGTAGCTCTAAACCATTGGGCATAAGGTGGAATGCCAGTTTAGACTCTTTCTATTTTTGTGTGAATCCAATTCCTATTAAATCTGATTATTCCAAGCGGGAAGTTCTTTCACACATAGCGAAATTGTTTGATCCCGTGGGATGGTTAGCCCCTGTTATTGTCGTTGCGAAAATAATTATGCAAAGGGTGTGGTTAGACAACATCGGTTGGGACGATTCACTTCTGGTTGCAACGAAAACCTCTTGGCTCGCCTTTGTTGAAAAGTTCTCGCAAGTAAATTCCATAAATATTCCGCGTTGGGTTTATTATAAACAAGCTTCTTTAGTTGAATTGCATGTTTTTTTCGATGCCTCAGAGAAAGCATACGCGGGGGTAATTTATATTCGTATAAAAGATTCAAATGGCGAAATTAAAGTTAATTTGCTGTCCTCAAAAACACGAGTAGCACCCATTAAATGTGTTTCACTTCCGCGATTGGAGTTGTGTGGGGCCGTGTTGGCGTCAGACCTTTTAAAGCCTATTGTGAGCGAGATAGACATTCCAATTCATAAAATCTACTGTTGGACAGATTCAACTATTGTGTTAGCGTGGCTGCGTAAAACCCCCACTGCATGGACTACATTCGTGGCAAATAGAGTCTGTCGAATTCAACAAAATGTAGGAAGTGCCCATTGGTTGCATGTTAGGTCTGGGGACAACCCGGCTGATTTGGGAAGTCGTGGTATTTCCCCTTTAGAGCTTGCTAATTCCTCCCTTTGGTGGAAGGGTCCTAGTTGGTTGAGTTTAGATAATTCTGATTGGAATATTTCGGATCCTGATCACATTGAAACAGAACTTGAAGCTCGTAGCGTCAAAACTCATTTTTCGTTCTTCTCGAATCATGAAGATCTCCTCGAATTGTTTTCATCTCTTTATAGGGCGTTGCGAGTATTATCGTATGTCCTCAGATTTTATCATAGAACTCGCCCAAAATTTCGTAGCCAATTTGTTTTCAATAGTAAAGTCATTGAATCTGCTGAAATTTGTAGGGTAAAAACTCGTTTAGTTATATTAGCGCAAAAAGTTCACTATGACAATGAGTACAAATGCCTTCTGGAAAAGCGATCCTTACCCTCTAATAGTCCCCTGCTATCTTTAAATCCAGTTTTAGACGAATTTGGTGTTATGCGATTGAATGGACGTTTAGTAAAGTCTGCTACTTTGTCCTACGCAGAAAAATATCCAATTATTTTGCCGTATTCGTGTCGTTTTACACGCCTCTTCATTGATTTCACTCACTCTAAATCAGTCCATGGAGGAAACCAACTTATGCTACGCCTCATACGGATGGAGTATTGGATACCTCGGGTAAAAATTCTAATTCGAACAGTGATCAGTCATTGTAAGGTTTGTTTGCTTGAAAAAAATCGGGCAAGTCCTCCACTCATGGCTGCACTTCCACCGGAAAGAACTTCAGTTAATCGACCTTTCACTACCACTGGTGTGGACTTTGCGGGTTCGTTTGATATTAAGTCGTTTTCTGGCCGTGCCTGCCGCATTTCCAAAGGGTACGTTTGCGTCTTTGTTTGTTTTGCAACCGAAGCGGTCCATTTAGAAGCAGCATCTGATTTATCAACTGCCACTTTTCTGGCTACATTTCACCGATTTATAGGCCGCCGTGGCTGTCCAAAATCACTATTTTCTGATAACGGAACCAATTTTGTTGGGGCTTCTCGTGAAATTGAAAAGAACTTTAGAATCTTTATTCGTGAATGTCGAGACACAGTTTGTTCAGCTTTAGGGTATCAAGAACTTACTTGGCAGTTCATACCTGCTGGGGCTCCCCACATGGGTGGTCTTTGGGAAGCGGCTGTCAAAAGCTTTAAGTTGCATTTTTATCGTCACGCAAGAGCACTGTCGTATACCTTCGAAGAGTTTTCAACAGTTTTGACCCGAATCGAAGCTTGCTTGAATTTTCGGCCTCTGTGTCCAATGTCTGATAACCCTGATGAGTTAGTTGCGCTTACTCCTGGCCATTTTCTTATAGGCGCTCCTCTTCTCTCACCACCCGAACCCCTAATTGAAGAATCGACATTGAGTTTAGTCAATCGCTTTCGAAAACTAAAAGCTTTAGTATTTAATGCGTCAAATAAAACGTCTACAGGCGTAAGTCTAAACGACATTCTGCATGTTGGACCAACTCTCCAAGCCGACTTAGTCCTCTTAGTTCTACGATGGCGTCTATTTCGTTTTGTGTTTAATTGTGACATTACTCAGATGTACCGTCAAATCCGCCTTCACCCAAGCCATACATCTTTCCAAAGAATTTTATTTAGAGAATCCCCTAATGACTCCATTAGCGACTATGAATTACAAATAGTTACATTTGGGGTAAATTGTGCGCCGTATCTTGCCATTCGAACTTTGCTTCAGCTCGCCGACGATTGCGAATTAGAATATCCATTGGCTTCTAAGATCTTACGTAAAAGTATATATGTCGATGACGTTCTTGCTGGTGCTCATGATATAGAAACCGCATTACTTGTTCGCAACCAGCTCATTGCTTCTCTAGCCACAGCTAAATTTGAGTTGAGGAAATGGACTTCTAATGAGAAGTCTATTCTTGCTGGTTTACCCCCTAGTCATTTAGTTGACGCACAAGTATTATCCTTTGTAGAAGCAAGTAGCTCTAAACCATTGGGCATAAGGTGGAATGCCAGTTTAGACTCTTTCTATTTTTGTGTGAATCCAATTCCTATTAAATCTGATTATTCCAAGCGGGAAGTTCTTTCACACATAGCGAAATTGTTTGATCCCGTGGGATGGTTAGCCCCTGTTATTGTCGTGGCGAAAATAATTATGCAAAGGGTGTGGTTAGACAACATCGGTTGGGACGATTCACTTCTGGTTGCAACGAAAACCTCTTGGCTCGCCTTTGTTGAAAAGTTCTCGCAAGTAAATTCCATAAATATTCCGCGTTGGGTTTATTATAAACAAACTTCTTTAGTTGAATTGCATGTTTTTTTCGATGCCTCAGAGAAAGCATACGCGGGGGTAATTTATATTCGTATAAAAGATTCAAATGGCGAAATTAAAGTTAATTTGCTGTCCTCAAAAACACGAGTAGCACCCATTAAATGTGTTTCACTTCCGCGTTTGGAGTTGTGTGGGGCCGTGTTGGCGTCAGACCTTTTAAAGCCTATTGTGAGCGAGATAGACATTCCAATTCATAAAATCTACTGTTGGACAGATTCAACTATTGTGTTAGCGTGGCTGCGTAAAACCCCCACTTCATGGACTACATTCGTGGCAAATAGAGTCTGTCGAATTCAAAAAAAAAGGGGGAAGTGCCCATTGGTTGCATGTTAGGTCTGGGGACAACACGGCTGATTTGGGAAGTCGTGGTATTTCCCCTTTAGAGCTTGCTAATTCCTCCCTTTGGTGGAAGGGTCCTAGTTGGTTGAGTTTAGATAATTCTGATTGGAATATTTCGGATCCTGATCACATTGAAACAGAACTTGAAGCTCGTAGCGTCAAAACTCATTTTTCGTTCTTCTCGAATTGTTCTCTTTATAGGGCGTTGCGAGTATTATCGTATGTCCTCAGATTTTATCATAGAACTCGCCCAAAATTTCGTAGCCAATTTGTTTTCAATAGTAAAGTCATTGAATCTGCTGAAATTTGTAGGGTAAAAACTCGTTTAGTTATATTAGCGCAAAAAGTTCACTATGACAATGAGTACAAATGCCTTCTGGAAAAGCGATCCTTACCCTCTAATAGTCCCCTGCTATCTTTAAATCCAGTTTTAGACGAATTTGGTGTTATGCGATTGAATGGACGTTTAGTAAAGTCTGCTACTTTGTCCTACGCAGAAAAATATCCAATTATTTTGCCGTATTCGTGTCGTTTTACACGCCTCTTAATTGATTTCACTCACTCTAAATCAGTCCATGGAGGAAACCAACTTATGCTACGCCTCATACGGATGGAGTATTGGATACCTCGGGTAAAAATTCTAATTCAAACAGTGATCAGTCATTGTAAGGTTTGTTTGCTTGAAAAAAATCGGGCAAGTCCTCCACTCATGGCTGCACTTCCACCGGAAAGAACTTCAGTTAATCGACCTTTCACTACCACTGGTGTGGACTTTGCGGGTCCGTTTGATATTAAGTCGTTTTCTGGCCGTGCCTGCCGCATTTCCAAAGGGTACGTTTGCGTCTTTGTTTGTTTTGCAACCGAAGCGGTCCATTTAGAAGCAGCGTCTGATTTATCAACTGCCACTTTTCTGGCTACATTTCACCGATTTATAGGCCGCCGTGGCTGTCCAAAATCACTATTTTCTGATAACGGAACCAATTTTGTTGGGGCTTCTCGTGAAATTGAAAAGAACTTTAGAATCTTTATTCGTGAATGTCGAGACACAGTTTGTTCAGCTTTAGGGTATCAAGAACTTACTTGGCAGTTCATACCTGCTGGGGCTCCCCACATGGGTGGTCTTTGGGAAGCGGCTGTCAAAAGCTTTAAGTTGCATTTTTATCGTCACGCAAGAGCACTGTCGTATACCTTCGAAGAGTTTTCAACAGTTTTGACCCGAATCGAAGCTTGCTTGAATTTTCGGCCTCTGTGTCCAATGTCTGATAACCCTGATGAGTTAGTTGCGCTTACTCCTGGCCATTTTCTTATAGGCGCTCCTCTCCTCTCACCACCCGAACCCCTAATTGAAGAATCGACATTGAGTTTAGTCAATCGCTTTCGAAAACTAAAAGCTTTAACTCATCAGTTTTGTGTAAGGTGGAAAGAAGAATACTTATTTAGTTTAAATAAGCGCTACAAGTGGAAATACCCTCAAAGAAACGTTGAGATCAATGATTTAGTTGTAATTCGGCATGAAAAATTGCCAGCCACTTCTTGGAAACTAGGTCGTGTTGTTGGTATTCATCCCGGTGATGATGGTCATGTTCGTGTAGTGGATGTACGAACGGACCAGGGTATTGTCAGGCGACCAGTCGTTAAGTTAGTCGTCTTACCACACTAAGCATCCCAAATTAACTTTCATCCTTTGTGTGTTGTTGTGTTTATTTGTAATAGTTTTGGCATCGCAGGAACTTTTCCCAGAAGTTGTCTTGTCCGACTATGATGATGCGGTGATGTCCGACCGCGAGCTAGAAGCGGAATTGAGGGCAACCAATCCAAATAGTTCCGGTCCAGATGGTGATCCTGTGGTGGAACTTGTTCCAACCACCTCCGCTGCTGACGTCCGTGCGTCCATTTCTGAGCCCTCCCAAACAGTGGCTACAGCAGCGCTTTCACGCGTCAGACGCGCGCCGATAAATTCCATGGTCCTATGTCTGCTGTGCACCCAACCTCACGCGTTGAAGAAATGTTCGGTATTCCGAAGGATGGCGCTTGAAAAACGTATTCGGACTGTGACATACCACCGTTGCTGCTATAACTGTCTACGTCCGGACCATGTATCAAAATTCTGCCAAATTAGTCAAAGGTGCAAATTTTGTACGAAGAAGCACCACACATTATTGCATGAAGCTCCGCGTACGAAGAACTTGGACACGGCACAACGCACCAACAAATCCATTGTTCCGCGAGGTACGTTTCCAGTACCACCGAGACACGTTTTACCCACATTGATGTTACCGATAGGTCGCATAATGTCCCTGTTCCCCACTGTTGTTGTTCGTCTCTGTTTGCCTAAGTCAACCGTTGCGGTACGGGCATTATTAGATCCTTGTTGTCCCGTAAGTCAAGTCTGTGTGTCACTTGTTAATGTTCTTCGTTGGCCTACCACGTCAGTTAAACATATGACTTACGCGGATTTTATGATTATGTCACGTTTTGATCCGTCGCAGAGACAATTTGTAACCGCTAGCGTCGCAAACATAACACGTGGCGTGATACCTTCCTTTTCGGCTCCTCCTAACATACGCGATTCGTTTGTAGGTCTCGAATTAGCAGATCCTAATTTTGATCGCGCTGGCCCAATCGCTATGGTACTTGGGCCAGAAATTTATCATAAAATCGTAGAACCGCGCGTCATTTCCAACCCTGGTCTTCCTACAGCAATATACACTAAATTTGGTTGGACAATATCGGGTCCTGTGCCATTATAATTATAGTTTTCTTAAACTGGCACTTTTTGAAAAACAAAAAAAAAAAATGTTAAAATATGAATTAAAATTAATAAAATGCTCAAAATGAACTGAACTTACGTCAAACATGTTTATATAAATGTATTTATCTAAATTTATGAATATCTCTAGGTATATGTTGTTGATTCATATGGATATATGTATCAAGTTGGGCGGCAATGTATATGTTAGATACGTTGTCCTGCAACTTCAGCTTAAGCAATTACCGAAGCTGATTGACATCACTGACAACTCCTCTACAAACTATCTCCGAGGAGGTAGTGGTATTTGAATTGTCTAAGTTGTTGTTTTTGTTCCTCACCTCGATACACTCAAATAGTTGTAAATGTACTAAAAATGAGACAAGGGATCCTCAGCGATCACTTAGAACCTCTGCGTTCACTTGTCTGCATTTGCATATGTATTAGAAATAGACAAGGGATCCTCTGCGATGACTTAGAACCTCTGCGTTCACTTGTCTTTGAGTATCGAAAGCTTAAGCATCAAGGCCTCTGTTGCCACTTCACATACCAAAAGGTAATTATTTGTAGAAAAGAAAATAAAATCTGAATTCAATAAACCAGCAAACTTATTTGGATTAAAAACTAATCATTTGTGTTTTTATTTTGCTTTTTTATACCTTTCATATCAACAGATTGCAAAAACAAGAAGACTTTATAGAAATAGAAAAATTGAAAGAAAGGAAATTGCTTCAGCTTGTCTAGAAATTGATGGTGACATAAGACCATATATGAATGCCAAACTAAATGGTTTTAACTTTACTGGTCTAATGGGCAGCGGTGCTTCTATTAGCTGCATTGGTAACAAGTGCTTAGAAAATGCCCAAATACTAAATTTTTAATCCAATATTAGGACAGCTGATGGCAAACAACAAATCATTGGCAAAATAAAGGCTAGTGTTCAATGTGGAAATAAAATAAAGGAAATGATTTTTTCCTGGTTCCAAGTCTAAAACAAGCCCTAATCTTGGGATATGATTTTTGGAAAGCACTAAATCTGAAAATTTCATTTGAACCAGATATAAATGAAATTACTAGCGATTTATCAAATGGTGAAAATGACAAAAAGATCCATGTGTTAACACATGAACAGAATATAGTCTTGGAGAAAACTAAACTTGCTTTTCGTTGCTACACAAAATATGGTTTAGGTAAGACACATTTAGAACAGCACAGTATCGACATAGGAAATGCAGAACCTAAAAAGATAAGGTATTATCCCGTCAGTCCTGCCGTACAGAAGTTAATGTATGATGAGTTAGACCGAATGATAAAACTAAATGTTATTGAAGTAGCGAAAAATTCAGACTGGAATAATAGAGTAACTTTAGTGATAAAACCCAACAAAAATCGCCTTTGTTTAGATGCAAGGGAACTAAATAAAGTTACACGCAAAGATGCTTATCCCCTACCTAACATAGACTTCTGGCAAGATTAGGTGACACATACTATATTTCGGCTATAGATCTAAAAGACGCATTCTGGCGAATTCCGCTGCAGAAATCAAGTCGCCCCTTGACAGCATTTACAGTCCAAGGTAGACCTCACTACCAATTCAAGGTTATGCCTTTTGGACTGTGCAATGCGGCTCAAAGGATGTGCAGACTAATGGACAAAGTGATCCCTCCAGTGTTGAAAGACCGTGTATTTGAGTACCTGGACGATCTCTTGGTTGTGTCACAAAACTTTGAAGTCCATATGGAAATGTTGAAAATCGTAGTTGAAAAATTAACACAAGCTGGACTGACAATTAACATGGAAAAATCCAAATTCTGCTACAAAGAGCTTAAATATCCAGGATATATTGCTGGTACTGGTAAACTGAAGCCTGATCCAAGCAAAGTAGAAGCAATCATGAATATAAAACCGCCTAAATCGCAAAAAGATGTAAGGAAATTTCTTGGTACTGTCGGCTGGTATTGCCGCTTCATTCATGATTTTTCAACATTAACTGCTGCATTAACCGATATGCTAAAGAAAACACCTAAGTTCAATATGGCGCCTCAAGCTATAGAATCTTTTGAAAAGCTAAAGCATAGTTTGGTATCAAGTCCAGTACTTTCGAGTCCAGACTTTTCGAGACCGTTTTTTAACCAATGCGATGCGTCTAATGTAGGAGTTGGCGCAGTTCTGTTTCAAAAAGATGACGATGACGGTGAACACCCAATCGATTATTTCTCAAAGAAACTAAACAGCGCTCAACGAAATTACTCTATAACAAAAAAGAGTGTTTAGCCGTTTTGCTTGCCATTGAAAGATTTAGACAATATATTGAAATGATGGATTTTACTGTGATTACGGACCATTCTAGTCTCCAATGGTTCATGAAGCAAAAAGACTTAAACGGTAGATTAGCATGATGGAGTTTGAAAGGGAAAGGATTTAAAAATGTAGTCCCAGATATGTTATCTCATTTGGATATGGAGGAAATTTCTACTGATAATTGATCTTTTATCAATCTAGACTCTGACGATTTTAAAAGTCCAAAATACTTAACTCTAATCGAAACAATCGAACAAAATGAAAATCGTTTGCCTGACTTAAAGGTTAAAGAAGGCATAATTTATAAAAGAGTAAAATTTAATCGTTCAAATGTGGAAAACGATGATGAATGTTGGAGAATATGACTTCCAGATACACTCACCAACCATATAATAAAAGAAATAAATTCCTTGTGGAGGAAATATTTTATAAATTCGGCGTACCTGAGTGTATACACTCGGATAATGGCAAACAATTCACATCAGAAGCGTTCAAAGAATTGCTATCAGCATTCGGTATTAAACATAAGCGCACTACCATACATTCGCCACAGACAAATGCAAGTGAGCGTGTTAATCAAACAATATTAAATAGTATTCGCAGCTACCTGCAAACAGACCATTCCAAGTGGGATGAACATCTACCCAAAATAGAGTGTGCCTTACGATCGACAATTCATGCCTCAACAGGTACATCTGCCTACTTTGCCCTTACAGGTTACCATATGATTACACATGCTGATGCATACAAAATACTCCGAAAACTAAACGCTTTTGAAGATGGAGAAATAAACATTTTACCTATGTCTGACCGAATGCAAATTTTGCATAAAAAGGTCGACAAAAGAATGCATGACGCATATGAGTGAAATAAATCTACATACAATAAACGATGTAAAACTGTATCTTTCAAACCTGGACAAGAAGTATACAGAAACAATTTTGTGCAAAGTGATTTTGCAAAAAGTATCAATGCCAAACTATGTAAACCGTGGCTAAAATGTCGCATTAGAAAACATTTAGGGAAGTGTCAATACGAAATTGAAAATTTAAAGGGACAACTAATTGCATAATTCACGCCCAACACTTAAAGCAGTAAAAAATTACATATCTATAACTATAAACTAATGTTGTTAACTAGTTTTACCAATTTCCGTTTGCAACTCCACAACATTCCTTCTGAAATCCATACAAAGCAATTCTCCACGCAGTCAATTTATTCAGCAATCCAATTCACCTGAAATGGAAAAGAACATTAATATAGTCCCACGTTAAAAAATGCTGCAAAGATAAAGAAAAACATTAGTATAAAGAAACTTGGCAGAAGTATAAAAAACTCATCTGTTCAACAAAATTACCTCATCATATCACAAATTTCCCAATGATTTCAACTGTTAATTATGGCCTCATTGTCCAAACATCTTATGTTTGTATCACAGCCTAATTTTTTCCTACCTATTTTGGACAGGTAGCTAACTAGCGCAGACAAACTGTTGCTTTTTCGTCACCCTAGTTGGTCATCTTCTACTCCGGGACAAACAGCAACAACAGGCAAAAAAAGAGAATGCAACATGTTAAATGACAAACTGGTAAATTATCTTGTTTTATACTTACATCCAAACATTACGAATTCCCAACTCTTTTTGCTACACTGGCTACACAAAAAGAATTGGCTTTGTGACAGCCACCCTTGGCTGTAATGTTTGCTCTTTTATTTATTTTTTTAGTAAGCAAAACTTTTGTTTATCTTTCACTGCTATAGAATAAATATTGTTCTTTTGACATTTGGCCAAGTAGTAGTGTTGGAAAACACCACTTTATAACTTGTGTGATCATTTCACAGTAGGTTTCAGAATAGATCACCTACCCTACATGCTGACAGAAATGACTGACACCACTCAGCGTACACATTTTCATGCCCAAATTTATTTAATTAATTAATATATAAATATATTAATTTATTTGTTTTCCCCTGTTCGAACTTTTTTTGGTTGTCTTAATACAAAGAGATATAAGAAAATTATATATTATTAATAGAATTATGAACATTTCCTTCATTGTTTTTAATGTGGCAATGCTATACGCTTTCGTCATCTATACACATTAAAAGGCAACTGCATCACGAATTCAAGTCCCACCATAGTTGCAAAGAGATCAATATTTTAACTCTGTAACTTCAACTCCATGTGGGAACTGACCTTCAAAAAAGTCACCTTGAAGTTACCTAAATTGATATCCGAGAAAATTTTGGCATAAGGTTTCAGAGTGTCAAGGTGACAAATATAATTTCACCATAAAAGTTCAAAATAAAATTGTAACGAAAAATCCAAACTTAATGTGTGTATAAAAACAGTTTTTTTTATTGATTTCCTTCTTACATTAATTTCTGTTTCATTAAATAGAATCTAAAAGCAGCACTCACATTTTTTTTTTATACATTTGTGGTGATTTATTTTTTTTTTTTTGAGTTTTGTGTAAAATTTCTGCTCGGGTAAGCATACGTTTTAAAACATAAGACAAAAAATAGTATCTCGTTGTTCAATAAAATCACTAATGTTACATTTAATACAGGATATTGTGTTAAAATTATCATTAACTTCAAGGATTACCTTGGTAAAGCGCCAAATAATATAACGAACGACATCTACAATATACCGAGCGAGTTCGAGGTAAGATAACCTCACCTCTGACACAACCAAATTTTCACCACATGGTTTGGGTAAGCATACGTTTTAAAACATAAGACAAAAAATAGTATCTCGTTGTTCAATAAAATCACTAATGTTACATTTAGTACAGGATATTGTGTTAAAATTATCATTAACTTCAAGGATTACCTTGGTAAAGCGCCAAATAATATAACGAACGACATCTACAATATACCGAGCGAGTTCGAGGTAAGACAACCTCACCTCTGACACAACCAAATTTTCACCACATGGTTTGCAAAACTGATGTATTTAAAAACTGTTGCAGTAAGTACACAAAACTATAAATAATAGACCCTGAAAAAAATTTATAAACAAAATTTAATTTTGCATGACAAAAGAAATACAAAAAGTTGAACAAAGATTATAAAAAAAAACATCGCAAAATGCGGATATATATGCATAACATAACCTTTAAAACAATTATTACATATATTTAAAAATGTGAAAAATATTTAAAAAAAAAATCAAAAATGAAATGATATTAAAATAAATAAAAAAAAGTAAGAAACAAATTTAAAAAAAAATTAAAATTTTATAATTAAAGAATATATTTAAAAAAAATGCATGCTTAAATCGTAAATATACCATTAATTATTATTTTTATATATATGATATTTAACGTAAAGAAATAAAAATTGTATTATTGTTTAAAATGTATAAAAATTAAATAACAAATGTGTTAAGGACTCTAAATAATAAAATGTTTATTCGATTACATGAAGTAAAAATGCGTTAAAATATTAAAACTAAGGGCTGAACGGTTGCCAGATAGCCGGGGTATTTTCAAATAAATTGGCAAGAAAATACCAAAAAGGATGACTGAAATACGCATGACTTAGAATTCTGATAGTAATTGATTTGAATTGAATGAAAACAAGGTAATGTTAAGAGTTCATCCGTCTACAATGTTGTTTATTTTTCTTGTCTACTTAAAATATTAAATTTCCATTTTAAAATCAAAGCATATGGTACACAAATTTTAAATGTATAGATCTGCGGAAAAAGAACCTCCCCATCCGGCGAGCTAAGTCGTAGCTGAACCACCTTAGTACCATTTCAGCATAAAAAGATCCATCACATAATATTGAATTGTATTAGTAATTTTTCATTATCAAAAACATCAAAAAGCTAATTTTCTCACAAATCGTAAACAACACGTATTTGGTACACTACGATTTCGTAGTACTCCGTCTGCGGAACACTACGTTTTTTAGTGGTCCGACTGCGGTACAGTACGATTCTCGATGTACTCCGGTACAGTATCACTAAAATATTTTTTAAGGGTTGTGCTCCGGTACGGTACATTATCTTAGTGTACCACTCCGCCTCGGAACGGTACAGAACACTACGGTACAGTCCCATACTGTTTATTTTCGAACGCTGGTTGCAATGGGAACATCAACATCTGCTTAATTTCTTCCATAACCAATTTAATTTGCTCCCGCTGCACCATCATCTTTTGGAACTCCCGAAACTGTTGCTGCATTGTTACTATATTGTTTTCTTCGGGTGTACTTACTGCCCCAGAATTTTCTAGTTGAATGCGTCCTGACGCTGTTGTATCCCCTGCTTTGTGACGCTCAACCTCCACTTTTTGTAGTTGCTGTTTTTGGAACTCCTTTTCCATTTTTTGTATCAGCTTTTTTATATTTCTTTCCTTGTTTCTTTTTTTCTCACGTTGGTTGCCTTCTTGGCTTTTTCCTTTTATTTTTTTTTTAATTAATTTTTTTAGGTTGGGACTTTTGTTGTCCTCTTTTCAAAATTATATGTTTTTTTCTATTTTGGACTTTGTTGTCCTTTTTAGCTATTTTTTTAATTTGCCCCGTGGGTCTTTTTTTTTGGTTTTGCTCCTATGGCGTATTTTGTAATTTTTCTGCCTTTGGGTCTTTTTTTTTAATTTTGCCTTTATGGATTTTTCATATAATTTATTCACTTCGACTATTTTTTTAAAATGCCCTATGGTCTTACATATAAAATGTCTCGGAGGACTTTTTGTGTAGCAGTTGTTTAGTTTTGTAGAAACTGTACATGGTGTAATAATAGTTTGTGTGTTGAATGTTCTTCTTTAAATTCTTATCTCATTTTTATTTGTCTTTTCCGAAATCACAAATTAGGTACGTTTCGTTTTCTCCCGCAACGTTATGTGTGCGTCAATGCACAGCGTGCATTAGTAAATAAAATGCATGTGTTAATGTATTAGATGTAAGCTTTAGTGTTAAGAATATGTTGTAAATAAATTGAGTTCCCTTCCAGCCACGGAACGAGAAACATCATTTTGCGGCGTTTTCTTTTTCTTTCGTTAGTTACACCGCTTTGTGATTAGGTTAGGAGTCGACCTCATCATTTGGTGACCCCGACGTGATAGTATCGCGTGTAGTTAGTGAAGGAAGTGATTCCATGGGCTATATTTTCAGTGTTCGAGAAAATATTAGTTTATGCGAAATAAAAAACGTGAATAGCGCGCATTTTCGTACTAGTGAAGTGTGTTAGGTTTATTTGTTGTAGCGACGTAAAAGATGCGCTGTTGAAGCAAAGATATTGTTAGATCCTTTCGTTGTGTAAAAGGAGATATGATAGATAGTAGTGAAATATTCTGTCGATCTATCTCTCCATATACTAACGCAATAGACGTGTAGTTAAAAGTGACTAGTTTTAGTCGTTTATTTTTGAGTGCACATATATTTCGTTAATATGAATTATGTAGAACTCATTCAACATCAAAGGATGTTGGGCGAGTATATTGTGTCACTTTATTTAGAAATGGAAAAAATTGCTCTGTGTGGTGTAACTAAGGAAGCTAGGGAAAAGTGTACCAAATTAGGTAGTTCCTTTACAGAATTAGGAAAGGAATACTTAGATAACGAGACATACTCGGATTGCATAGACGCCTTGGGAGTACGGTATGCGATTAAAGATATCGAGAGAGTTCTAAACGGCGTAGGTGTTTTTGTGCCCATAGAAATTCCAAGTTTGGATATCGATTATTTAGCTGAGATGAACGACTTACTGTTCCATTTACAGCCGCCAGATATTGGAATGAAGGTTAAACTTATCGATGCAGCATTTGATTTTTGGGAGGAGATTAGAAGAGGTATTTTCTGAATAGAAAACATCGATAGGAATTTTCAAACATTATCGTCACAATACGTGCGGTATCTGGATATAGTTGGAAAACAGGATGACTTCACAAGCCATTACCATTTTCTTAGAATTTGTTACGGCATAGTGAGAAGTGTGAACATTTCAAGAATACAACCTAAAAAGGTGAACATGAAGAATCATAGTATAATGTTTCAGGTAGTTTAGGGACTCAGCAAAAAATATTTGAGGACTTAGAAGCTATCAAAAGAAAAAATGAAAACGTTCGCTTTGATGCCCCACGAGTCGAAGGAACGCGTAAAATTAAAATTGAAGAAGGGCTGCCAACAAGGAATATGCTGGTACACAAAAATCTTGTATTTGCTGCTCCTGACAAAGAAGAAAGTGAAATCCGGGCCAAGGATTTTATTGGCGATGGACATAAAGAGAATATTGATAATTTCCGTCTGGAACGAAATGGTTCAGAAGGCGTGGTGAACATAACAACATGTCTATAAGAAAACGACGTATCCATGCAGAAGATATGCCATTGAATTATGGCAAGGATTTAAAAATATCCCCGGTATCTGGTCATCGCTGGCGGAGAGATCCAGACTTCAAGTGGTTGGTTGTTGTTGTAGCAGCTCATACATCTGTGTTCGTTCGGTTGCCATTTTCTTCAGTTCAGTTCAGTTCAATCAGGTTCTGCCTATAAGTCCAGTCTCAAAAAGGATGCAACCTGTATGGGTTGTGTCCATAACGAGACTGGAGTTAGGTGGGTAGGCGTGTCATGTGGGCCTGTGCCACATGCTGGGCAGATGTTCTGCACGTCGTCGTTAATTCGGGCCCAGTAGGAATTTAGGCGGCTGCATCATCCGGATCGTAATTGAGCCCAAACTACTCGGGTTTGTCGGGGCAGCTCTAGTTCTTCAGCTGCGACGGAAGGGGGATGGTCTCCTAGCACAGTATTCACACTGTATCCTTCAATGGCTTCTGAGACCGCATTAGAGTGAATACTATTTAGTCCCGCTTGATAGGCCTGTTGATCTAGAGGCTCTCTCTTATACCTCTGTACCTCTCTCTCTAGATCATGAAGGTCTTTCCTAACGTGCCTGGGCGGAGGTTGCCTATCCACAAGATGGTGATTTGTATGTA